GTCTTTGCCTCTAGACATCGGGCAGTAAACCATCAGCGCCGGTCTGAACGAGTCACAGCGTTCTGCTTTGTGCAGAAGCCAACGCGAGTGAGTCCGACTCTGCTGATGAGACACTGGATGTTGAAATCGGGCCAGAGTTTGACTTGTAACCGAACCAGTGCTGTAGAAATGATGCACTCGCATGAGGCCGAACCCGGCTTATGGGATGTGTAAAAAGAAAAATAAGCGATTTTTTTTGTCACGTGGCTTCTACTGCTGCTGCCTTCCATCCCGTCTGTGGTGGCTCCTCCTGACGCCTCTGAGTCGACCTCTCTCTCTCCCTCCGAGTCGTCCTCTCTCGCTCTCTCCGAGTCGTCCCCGCTCTCTCCCTCTACGCTGTCTCCTCTCTCTCGAGTTGTCCCCTCTGTCTCTAAGCTGTCCCCTCTCTCGTCCGCTCGGCGCGACGATTCCTCAAGGGGCAGAGCAGTTGATAATTTCGAAGGTGGCATCTGTCGTTTGCGATGGGGCCTCGGCTAACGCCGCTACGGGCGGGTCGGTGTCCTCGCCTGATCATCCCCCTGTGGTCTGCCATCGTCTGCGCGCGTGGTTTGGGTTGAGCACGGCCTCCGTCCGAGCACGCCGAATCATCCGGCCGAGCGCACGGCCCTTCGGAATCGTCAGAATGTTTCATTCGGACTGGAGGAATCCGATGAGCTGTGAAGCTTCTCTCCTTCACGGTAAACGTTCCCACTGCGTCTCCGGGTCTTCATGTCGCACCGCAGCAGGACATCTGCAGCCGGACTCGCTGTGTAGTGTCAACGACGGCAACGGTAGGCAAAGACAAAGGCGCAGCCCCGCAGCTGCTCGTTCGCGACCACCGTTGACGGAAGGGGCCTCGACCCGAGCTCTAGGATGGTGGGGTGGGGGGGGTTGTGGCCGATTCTTCTGTGCTGACTCGTGCGTCCTGGCACGGGGCCGGCAGTGTTCCCCGCACTCTACCCCACCCGCACCACGCGGCCCGTGCGATCGCTCCGCCGCGTCGACCACTCACGCCGCCGGTCGAAGGTTCAAGAGACCGGCGACGGGTTCGACGAACGATCCGACAACGGCCTCTCACTTCCGAGACGGGCTTCGCGAAAAAGTCCGGCGGAGGCTCCGAACGGCGCGCCGGTGGTCCGGGAGGGCGTCGTCAGAAAGTCACAACGACGAACAGTTACGAAAACAAAATCACGATAGGAGCGCGAAGTATAGGGAAAGATAAGAAAATTATTAAAACTAAATTTTTTAAAAAAATGTCATCTTACCTGGTAGAGCCCACTGAGCTATTGGCTTGGCCACAAATGATAGCTAAACTAAGTGGCTCATCATCATGTGGACATTCATAGCGTAATGTGTGAAGGCGGGGGGTGCGGGGGAATGTAAGGGGATGCCACACACAGAAACTCTACCGGCCAGAGAGCATAAGCCTGTGCCCCAGTTCTCTGTTTCCGTGTGCGTGGGAACAACACTCGATCTCCACTTGTATATAATAATCAGAAACCGGACTTTGCCTTCAATCGCACCGATGCTTGCATGCTGAGCACGGGGCCCATGGGGCCTTAACGTGAAGCAGGGCCAGCCACAATCAGCACCACCGAAGTTTCGAAACGGCAATATTGCGGGGGTCAACACTCGGTGCATCCACTGTCGTCGCATGCGGAGAACGCGAAGCGACGGATGGAAGCACCCAAACTCTCCGCACTTTCTTCCCGGGCCTGTCCCTCCCCAACGGAATATTAAAGTGTCGTGTTTTTATTTCATTTTACACATCCCATCAGCGACATGGCCTTGTGGGAGCGCGTCGTCGTTCCGGCAGCAGGAGTGGCAGCAGAATGAAAAGGTTTCTGGCTCAACCATCGAACAAAGAATGGTCACCGCAAAGCGCGCTTTAAACGCACTTCTGCGGCCGTCTGGAACGCTCTTCCTGCCGATGTTAGCAAGCCGCTGGAGCTAAGCGCTTTTAAATCTAGGTTGACAAACTCTTTCCTTTAGAAATGCTTCTCGTGTTTCGTTTGTCGTCCTTCCCCCGCGCCTCCGATTGGCGCGGTCGGATACATGCGGCGCGAAGGAAGTTCAACACGCACGCGTCAGCATTCAACGCGGCACATTCGTCAGCATTGGGCTCAACGCAGGGAAACCGTGGTCCGGTTTTGACACGTGCAACAAAAAAAAAACACCCCAGCGTCTCATGAGCAGAGTCGGTGGTGCTTTTGCTGCTCAAAAAGTCCGTGAGAGTTTGGCACAAAGCAACAAAAAAAAACACAGACACACAGGAGGGACCCAAACAGGGCCACCCCCTGTCCCTCTACCCCCACCCCCTCCTGAAAGGCGGGCGAGAATAAGAGAGGTGGCGAGAGACGCGGCCATGTGATTCAGGACCAGTTCCCTTGTGTTTGCTTCCGCGGGGCGCGTGAAGTGGAACGCGCGGGTTAAAGTCCAACGCGTCCCTTTCGCTCTCCCTCTCTCGCTCTCCCTCCCTCGCTCTCCCTCTCTCGCTCTCCCTCCCTCGCTCTCCCTCTCTCGCTCTCCCTCCCTCGCTCTCCCTCCCTCGCTCTCCCTCCCTCGCTCTCCCTCTCTCGCTCTCCCTCTCTCGCTCTCCCTCTCTCGCTCTCCCTCCCTCGCTCTCCCTCTCTCGCTCTCCCTCCCTCGCTCTCCCTCCCTCGCTCTCCCTCCCTCGCTCTCCATCTCTCGCTCTTTCTCTCTCTCTCACTCTCCCTCTCTCGCTCTCTCTCTCTCTCTCCATCTCTCGCTCTCTCTCTCGCTCTCTCTCGCTCTTTCTCTCCCTTCTTCTCGCTCTCTCGCCAATGTTGACGGACGTTCGTTTTTGTTTTGAAGAGGCGAGCGAGCGAGCGAGGCAGGAGAGCCGTGAGCTCCACCTCGCCGTGAGCTCAAGAGCTTGGGAGAGGGGAGAGTATGATGGGGGGGGAGGGTGTTTTGTTTGTCCACACGGCGAGCGTCAAGCAATCAATTCAACGTTCATTTGTTACGTGGAAAGTCCCAAGTAGCCAGCTACCCAGCTAGTTCGCGGGGGGGGGGGGTGCGGGGTGGAGATCCGTGGTTCCATCGGCGCGGAAAACGATCGGCGCAGATCTGCGTCGTGCTCGCTTCCCTCCATCTCGCCCCCCCCCACACAATCCACCCAACTATGCACCCCCCTCCCCGCCACTACACACACACGGCTGCCCCATTCTCCCCATTGAAGACGCCAAGGTCAAGGTCAAGAGGTCGTCGCGGCAAATCCTGTCGACGTGACCACAACCGGCACCGGTCGCGTTCTCCCCGCGGAAGCGGCTGCCTGGCGGGTCCCCAACGCAGAACAGTCGGTCGCGCGCGACCCAATCGCCTTCACACGTGAACGCCTCCGCAACCTGGGCCTGCGAGCAGCTTGCGCCAACCGGTTGCCCACCGACGGTCCGCTCCGGCGTCGACCCGCCAACCGGACCCCCGTCGCGGCGTCACGTGGTGCGTGCCCACGTCCGCCGCCGTCCGCGTGTCCTCACCGCGCGGGTCTACGGCTCTCTGTGCGAGTTCGCGGACCCTTGTCGCGAGCCGTCGTCGGCGCCCGCGCCTGTTGATCGCCGACTCGCTACGCTCGGTGAAAGGCGGCTTCAACGCGGGCGGCGGATGTAACCGGGAATGCGAACCCAGTCCCATCGGCGTCTCTGACCTCTGATGCCACTCGGCCGGAAAAAAAAAAGTTCTGTTGAATCCGAAGTAATAAACGCGCGTGGCAGTTGTAGACTTAGCGCTGGGGAATTTTTATCGTGGAGGAGTGAAACCCTCCCCCCCCCCCCCCAGTGTCTATCTGTCTGTCACACTGCGTGTCTCATTGTGTCTCTCTCTCGCCCTCTGTCTCCTTCCCTCCGCTTGGCAGTAACTCTCTCCGAGTCCTCTTCTCTGTCTGTCTACGGCTCGAACAAAAGCCCCCCACCCCCCACCTCCCACAACCCCCCACCCACCTCTCTCTCGTTCTTCATTTAATCACCCAGCACCACACTGGCCATGCCCGGGACCAGCTATGCCTGTGCACTGGTTCAAGAAATCAAATGAGCACCATTCCACCTCGCACTGCTTCCTGTCCAACTCCCCTCCAAACTCCTTATTCATAGCCCGGTGCCTGGGTCTCTCCCCGCAGCCCGCGCACCCACGTTACAGTTTCACCGCCTGCACACTGCAAATGTGTCTACGAGCCCAGCGCTGCCGCACGCTCAAAGGCCTGCCCTGCCCCAAGCCCTCCCCCATGCCCTGCCCTGCCCTGCTCCGTGCTGTACCTCAAGTCATGCATTGCCCTGACCCAGGCCCTGCCCTGCCCCAAGCCCTGCCCCAAGCCCTGCCCCAATCCCTGCCCCAAGCCCTCCCCCCATGCCCTGCCCTGCTCCCAAGGGACAACTTTACGCGACTCTTGCAGACTCATCCCTACCCCGCCATCCCCCACCGCCCCCGTCATGCGCACTCTGGGCGAGGTGGCGAAGCGCCTTGAGAGATAAACGCGCGTGAGTGTGTACGCGCGCGCACCCAACACGCACTCGGCACGGCGCGAGTGCCACTGATACACAAACACAGCTGCTGTCAAGTCCCTCTAGACGCACGTGAGCTCACTTGCCACTCTCGCGCGGTGACGTTATCCGTTCTCGCGACGATGATGGATGGTAATGATAATGACGGCGGTGGTGGCGGTTGTTGTGGTGGTGGTGTAGCGCGGTTAGCTGCGCTGCGGCTACGAACCCAGCGACCCGAGATCCACTCCCGACATCATATCTGGGTCCCTCCCCCCACCTAACCACCATCCAGGTTGACTCAGCCTTAAATGAGTACCTAGTGTGGTGGGTAGTAAACACGAGTACCGGGAAGGCAAAGTCGGCCGGGCACCACCTCAGTCGGTGGTGCTGCCTCCGAGCAGAACTTTCCCCAACAGTCTGTTGAGGCTACGCGGGGGATCTGTGTCTTTGTGTTGTGTAAGAGTAACCAAGACTGAGCTTTACCTACGGAGTCAAACGGCAACAGGAACGGCAGGTCGCTGATGCTGTGGATTTCAGCCCGCGACAGGACGTCCAGCACGGCCTGCGGCATCTCTGGCTCCTGCAGACACAAAGTCACCATCATCAACATCATCATTAATATCATTATCACCATCATCATTAATATCATTATCATCAACATAATCATTAATATCATTATCATGAACATTGTCATTAATATCATTATCATCATCATCATTAATATCATCATCAACATCATCATTAATATCATTATCATGAACATTGTCATTAATATCATCATCAACATCATCATTAATATCATTATCATGAACATCATCATTAATATCATCATCAACATCATCATTAATATCATTATCATGAACATTGTCATTAATATCATCATCAACATCATCATTAATATCATTATCATGAACATTGTCATTAATATCATCATCAACATCATCATTAATATCATTATCATGAACATTGTCATTAATATCATCATCAACATAATCATTAATATCATTATCATCATCATAAACATCAACATCGTCATTCAGATCATCATCGTCATGAATATCATCAGCAAAATCGTCGGTAATATCATCATCAATGTTATTACTATCTTAATTAATATCACGATGGGAAGTAATTTTATCTTCATTAATATTGTTGTCACCATTGTGATTGTCATTAATATCAACGTTATCACCATTAACATCATCTACATCACCAAAGGCAAAAATCCCCCGTATAGCTTGAACAGACTTTGGGGTCAAGTGCTGTTAGCGAGTAGCACCTATGAGGGCCGACACGGCACACGAGGGGGTGGGTGGACGGCACCACGCCTGGCCGCCTTTGTCTCCCTAGTGGCGATGTTGTTTACCCACAGCACCAGGTACTCATTTGAGTCCGAGTCGACCGAGGGGAGGCCCAGGACCCATTCAGATAATCGTCACCGATGAGCGGAAATCTTCACCACCACCATCATCATCATCGACATCATCATGCCCACCCAGCGGAATCAATGGGTGCAACCGAAAACCCAACCAGTCGATCGGCAGATTTTGTGTGGGAACTTCCCACCTCTTTCCAGACAAAACCTAGCCGGTGTGAAAGATCCATGGAAGAGATTTTTCGGGTTAAATCGCGTAAATATAAATGTGTCGTTAAACCCGCCACCACCCGACACGGTCAATTAGTAAGGTTTGTCACGTCAACAAAACGTACCAGCTAGTTACTAGTACAGCACACCCAGTGTGTTGGAGAGTAAACCCACAACGTTTGCAATTCGATTAACCGCGACGCTTCACCCCTAATTACAACCAGCGTCATCAGGCGGCAGCCAGAGTTGTGGAGAAATCCTCCTCCTGATTCGGTCTTAAATAGAGGGGAGGGATTCATGTGATGCCGTCACTACGCGAGCCAATATTTGGCGCGCGAACCGCCAGTGTGAAAGAGTTGGCCAGGAAACTCCCCCTTTGATGGGGCTCTGGAAGGCTCCGTTCCGGCAGCGGCGCGCATATTGCAGGGGCTGCGCCTTTACTGCTATTGCCGGGGGCACGGGAACTGCGGACACGCAGGCATCGCGCAGAATAGCAGCGGTAACAAGGCCGGCGGCGATCTGTCAAGAATGACGCAACTCTCACTCAGGGTCACTCCACCGCGACCAATCTGCCTGCCTTGCCCTCTCATCATCGCCACTCGGAGCGGCTCGCGGACTCAACAGCGACAGCCCCCCCCCATCCCATTCCACCACAGCCCCCCCCTCCCCCACCACCGCTCACTCCCAGGGTGCCGAAACGACGGACGCATCCGCGTCGAAATCATTTCAGTGGCGAGGAATCGGGCGGCGTCATCGGCGTCTCTCCGTGCGCGCGTGTTGACCTCTAGCTCCTCGCCCCGTGACCTCTCAGATGTTGAGACCTCGCGACTCGCATCCACCCATCCTCTCCCAGCCTCAACATCGCCCGCCGTACCCCCCCCCCCCCCCACACTCCACCACACCTAACCCTAAACTAGCCCCCCACCACCATCCCAGCCACACATGAGCCGTGACCTTTACGAGCATCACAAAACGCGTGGTAAAGACGGGCGGTGAAGGGGGGTAGCCCCCCATAACGGCGGGGGGCTGTCACTGCCGCCGGAGGCAACTCCACTGGGCAAATCCTGGGGTGGGTGGGTGGGGCGCGAGAGACTTTCGCAGACTCGTCCCCACTGAACAGGCCGACTAAGCGACGGTAGGAACTTCCTCCTCTTGTGCACGGCGGCAATTGGTTCGCCAAAGCGATTCGGTCGCTAAGCGAGTACAGAAAGTACACGTTAGAGGCTGCTAGAGTCGAAAGTTACCCCCTTTGTCAAACCACAAAACGTATTTTATAACATTTTAAACAACGGATACTAATACGTAAAGACACTAACAACATGATAAACGTATGATATTAAAAGAAAGGTGGTTAAGCAGTGCATTCATTGATATTCAACGCACCTGGAACAGCCCCTCGTTAACAGGGTAATGGTCGGTAAGCGAACACATGGAAATCTATGGATGCACTACACTACTGTACACTACATTATAAACTACTATACACTACACTGCTATATACTACTATACACTAAATTATACACTACTATACACAACATCACTATACACTGCAATAACATACACTACACTACACACTACTATACACTACATTATACACTACTAAACACTACACTACTGTAAACTACATTATACACTACACTAAACACTATTGTGCACTACTGTACACTACATTATACACTGCTATACACTACACTATGCACTACTAAACACGACACTACTATACACTACACTACTATACACTACACTACTAAACACTACACTACTAAACACTACACTATGCACTACTAAACACTACACGACTATACATTACACATTGGGCTCTACGTCGCTCATAGGGGCGGTCGTTAAGAGGGGTTCTACTCTGTAGACATTTAGATTGTTGTACCGGTTAAGGCCCACTGAGCCATGTAGCTCTCTTTCAGAAGCTACATCACCAATGACAGCTCAACGAAGGCACTTACTGTCACGTGGACATTTAGAGCAGCCAAACACTCTAAACGCGCGACGTTGTTGATTCTAAATGTGGAGGGAAAAACCGGAGGACCAGAAGAAAAATCCACGCCACCACGGGGAGGGTGGGGGGCGAGACACGCAAACTCAAATATACAGCAGGTGTCAGGGTCGGGTTCAAGACCACGAGCCCCTCAACGCCAGGCGAGGTTGTAAACATCTCGCCAACGTGACGCCCAGATGTCTGTACAGGGGTGAGGGTACCCACACTTTACCTCGCCGCACCCGAGCTGCCGATCGAGTTCACAAGGAGACCTCAAACACTCGCGTCGTTCGTCGCGAACGGGAAAACGTATGCGGCAGTGGGCCCGACGTTCTGGGCAATGGGCCTTCTTCACAGCTGTACGGGCTTGACTCGGTTGGTGGTGATGCGGTGATGATGTGGTGATGATGTAGTGATGTTGGTGATGATAATGTGATGTTGGTGATGATGATGTTGGTGATGATGATGATGTTGGTGATGATGATGATGATGATGTTGGTGATGATGATGTGATGATGTTGGTGGTGATGATGATGGTGATGATGATGATGATGTTGGTGATGATGATGATGTTGGTGATGATGATGTTGGTGATGATGATGATGATGTTGGTGATGATGACAATGATGTTGGTGATGTTGGTGATGATGATGATGTGGGTGATGATGATGTTGGTGATGATGATGATGATGATGTTGGTGATGATGATGATGTGGGTGATGATGATGATGTTGTTGGTGATGATGATGATGTTGTTGGTGATGATGATGATGTTGGTGATGATGATGATGTTGGTGATGATGATGATGTTGGTGATGATGATGATGGTGATGTTGGTGATGATGATGATGGTGATGTTGGTGATGATGATGTTGGTGATGATATGATGTTGGTGATGATGATGATGTTGGTGATGATGATGTTGATGGTGATGTTGATGTGGTGACGCTCCCTGTCAGCCGGACACTGCCTCGTCTCCCCACCCCAGCCGCTACGACGCAGCACAAACCCAGTCTCGACAAAACTCCACGATTCATTACCTCGTAAACCACGCCAAGGTTTTATTGCGGCCATATTTTACTCATTCACCGAGAACCAAAACATATTCTTAAAAATTACATCACGTGTCCTCCCCCCCTCCTCCCCTCCCCCCGTCGTGTTGCGATCGCAAGGGGCTCGTTCGCGAGCAACTTGACTTGTTGCAGCAAACAGGAACCCGTGACAAAAGGGGCGATGATCAGCGACGCAACAACAAAAAAAGCCGGTAAACATGCCCCGTTGGCGTCAACGTTGGGGGCAACGTTTTGGGCACCTTTTGGTCAACGTTGGGTCAACTTTGGGTCAACGCTGGGTCAACATTGGGGCAACTTTGGGTCAACATTGGGGCAACTTTGGGTCAACGCTGGGTCAACATTGGGGCAACTTTGGGTCAACGTTGGGGAAACTTTGGGGCAACTTTGGGGCAACTTTGGGTCAACGTTGGGTCAACGTTGGGGCAACGTTGGGGCAACGTTGGGGCAACTTTGGGTCAACGCTGGGTCAACGTTGGGGCAACGTTGGGGCAACTTTGGGGCAACTTTGGGTCAACTTTGGGTCAACGTTGGGTCAACGTTGGGGCAACGTTGGGGCAACTTTGGGGCAACTTTGGGTCAACGCTGGGTCAACATTGGGGCAACTTTGGGTCAACATTGGGGCAACTTTGGGGCAACTTTGGGGCAACTTTGGGTCAACGTTGGGTCAACGTTGGGGCAACGTTGGGGCAACTTTGGGGCAACTTTGGGTCAACGTTGGGTCAACGTTGGGTCAACGTTGGGTCAACAGTGGGGCAACGCTGGGTCAACAGTGGGGCAACGTTGGGTCAACAGTGGGGCAACGCTGGGTCAACGCTGGGTCAACGCTGGGTCAACGCTGGGGTAACCTTGGGTCAATGTTGGGGTAACCTTGGGTCAACGTTGGGTCAACGGTGGGGCAACGTTGGGTCAACGTTGGGGCAACGTTGGGC